ATTTGGTCTGCTAATATCTCAAAACTAGCAGTAGTGTTTTGAACTAATGGATTTAGGACTGTAGTCAACTATTGTGATAACATATTCACCATCTCAAAATTGCTCTCATCCATTTGTTGTCTAAGTATCCCTAATGAGTTACTGGATATCCCAGTACCAGTGTTTTCGATAGTCTCAAAATTGGATCGATGATAATCCCTATCGAATGTATATCTTCCATGTTCCAAATTTCCTCTATGATCTAGATTTCCTCTATGATCTAGATTTGGAAGCGTTTGTTGTGTGCCTAAATTCTGTCCACTTCCTGAATTCTGGGGGATTGCTAAGTTTTGAGATGTCCCTAAATTCGGAGGGACTCCAAAATTTTGGGGCATGCCTAGTGTTTGAGGCATTCCTAAGTTATATCTCGAATTCCGTTGTGTTGAAGAAGTTCCAACCCCACTCATATTATTAAGCGAAAACCCAGGCGGTCTTACACTCATATATGGCCCTACATATGTTGTTTTGGGGTTTCCTATAGTTTGCATATTATTTGGTACCACCGCATTAGATCCTACTTGGGTGTTTGTTAAGGTACCTGAATTTTGTTCGTTACCCACAGGTATCGACATACTCGCAGTTGTCGATGTTACAGGTATATTCCCATTATGACTTTGCCCCCCAGTATTTGGTGGATGTACACCATTTAGACCCTCACTGTTACTCTGGTTATTTGATGAATTTTGACTCATTCTTATAACTCTCCCACTCCTTAATCTCATACACTCTCAAACTAACCGATTTTGTGTGTTTTCAACACAAGACTAGCCCCCTACCTGGTACGCCAATTTGTTTCTGGTGGAATTTCGATCGATTTCGACTCTTAAGACATTTTGATCCTAATCAAAATTCTACCATGTAAGTTCTTTTTACTTAGGCTAGCAAATTAATTTTCAATCGAGAGGCGTATGAGGATCGAATTTTACCCGATTTCAAAGATACTATTTTTGGTGTTTTATATTTAAAGTGCTCGAAGTAAAGAAAGCAGAAAATTCATGGAATCGAAAAGCAGTGCTGAACATTAGATTGCAAAGAAACGTAACATGCGGAGATCTTAAATTCGCTTTAAGTATGAAAGACAGGGAATCGAAACAGCAGAAATGTAAATAACAGGAAGTACAAATGACAGTAAATCAAATGTGCAGAAAGTATAAATAACTGGAAATCGAAATTGCATTAATGTTAAATGATAAGGAAACTTAAACGCGGAAACTTAACTTTCATTGAATCGAAATGACCAAAAATCGAAAGTACAAAAACATAAAATTGCTAAAGATAAATTGCATCAAAGTAAATTACCAAGGAAAATACAGAAAACGGTAAAGGTACTAAATGAGCATGGAAATCCAGATTGTCAGAAGCTTCATGATGTTCGTCGTTTCTCCGGTAGACTTCTCACTAATGATTCTGTTCTCTGCCAACTTTCTGCTCCCTTTCCTTTCATCCTTTGCCCTATTTATAGTGTCTTTTCAAGTAGTCTCTTAAGAGCAGTTAACGAAGACTACTACCACGTTCTCTGTGCACGTTTTTTGCAGTTTTGTTCCTAGCTCTGCGGTTTAGGAACTGTATCCACGTTCCCATGAATGAGGTAACCGCTCCCTTGACCTTCAACTTTTGCTACCGCTTACTATGTTCGATGTATACGTTGACCGTTCTTCTTAGCCAAAATTTCGATATTCACGTATATTAGTCTTTCCTTCGATTTAGATTTCGCAACTTCGAAAATTTTGGATTTGCTTTTGATTCTCGATATCCTTAACATCACCAGATTTTGTTTTCTTGATTTTTTTCACCAACGGACGTTAAGCGTTATTCCCTCAATTTTCGATTATAATTCTCGATATTTTCTCGATCCTTTTATAGATTTCTCACTAACACTATCCTAAACAAAAATATCAAAATGATCAAACTCGTAAATAGTGAACCAATAAACTTCACTTTCATATTTGGATGGTCAATAATTTAGATAAATTATGTAGAAAAAGAAAACAAAGTATAAATATATTATAACACACCAAAAAAACTGGACTATAATATAGGAATAATATTTATAAATCTTTTTGCACATATTTCGATTTTTTTTTTTTACCCATAATGATATCTTGTGCCATAATGATATCTTGTGTCATAAGATCACTAAGTCTTACCATTTTTAATTCATCAATAGTATCATCGAAAAAACATTTTTCACTTTTATCATCATTTACTTTTTAAATGATGACAAAAAAATTAGTATACTCTCTGCCTTCTCTGATAACAGATGGATGGTGAATATATATTTTTTTATATAATTTATATATATATATATAAATATAATACATTATTATGTATATAAATATTAACTATTTTTTAAATGTTTTATTTATGAATTATATTTTATATCAAATAAATTAAAAATTTATTATATTTATATTAAATATTTAATTATAATTAATTATAATTAATAATTTAAATTTAATTAATTAATATTTATTATTTAAATTATTATATTATATTTATATATTCTAATATCATAATAAAAATATAATATTTATAATTGTAATTTTAATATATAATTAGTATTTTTTTAAAATGACTTGACGGGTCAATTCTATCAAAATTAATGACTAAGCCTATGTTTGATCCAGACTATTTACTGTAGTAGATGAAGCATATTGTATAAAAGTTACTTAAAAATGTACTGATTTGAAAAGAAATAAACTTATATTCTAAAGTAATATATTTCTTTTCTCTATGGAGAAGATTTAAGATAAAAGATACAGTCATTTTTGTTTTTCTTAATTTTAATAAAAAAAATTTTCAAATAAATTATTATTATATCAAAATATATATTAAAAATTACATTATTAATTTTTAATTTTTTATCTCTATTTATATTTATTTTTATTTTTAATATAAAAAATGTTAATTTTATATATATATATATATATATATATATATATATATTACTACTTACTAACTAATTATATTTTTATTTTTATTTACTTATAAATTATATTTTTTAATATAATTTTAAAAATAAAACACTCTTATCATTGTAATATATAATTTTAATGTAATGAATATAAATAACCATTATAATGATTTTAACCACTGATGAATGTATAATGATTATTATATGAATATAAATAATCCATTATATAAATATGAGTAATGATTATATTAAAAAATATATTACTATATTAAAAAAATTAAATTGATATATTTATTATATATGAATTAATATTGGAATATAAAAATATTTATATATATATTTTATTTATAATAAAATTAAAATATTTAAATAAAATTTAATTTACTTAAATATATTAATATTATAATGTAAATTATTAATAAATTTTAACTTTTTTAATAATTTAATATATATTTTATTTTTTATTATGATATTTTTTATTATATTTTCTTTTTTAATTAATAAAATTATACATGATTTATAATTAATTACTTGAATAATTTAAAATTTATTTTTAAATATTTTTCCCAATAATATTTTTTAAAAATTTTAAAAATACTTCTAAATTTTTATAATTATAAAAATTAAAATATAATATTTCTATAAAATATCACAATTTTTATAAAAATTTAAGTATAAATTAATTTTAATATATTTAAAATTTTATATATAATATAAATTAATTACTAATTTATATTATTAGAATAGATCCCAATTTTATTTTATACTTATTTTACAATAATATTTTAGTTAATATATTTTTTATCTTATTAATATTTTTTATTAAATTACATTATGATCTTTCTACTCAATTTTTTTTACCTTTTATCCTCTCTCTCTCTCCGTTCACTCCCTAAAATCCACCCATTCCAAACAAACAATTACAAAACCCTAAAACTATTATTCCGATCTGAATAGTGTTGACACTTAACCTATTTTTCTATTCATGTTTTTATAATAATCATATATATATATATATATATATATATATATTTATTTATTAGAGTAAAATAATTTATTTCGTTTTTTAATTTCTTTATTATAAATTTAATACGATTTAATTATATGTTTTTAGTTCTTTATATTATAAATTTGATAAAATTTAATTATATTTTTAGTTCTTATAATTTAATTATAATCTTAAATAAGCTATTTTAAATCTATTTATTGTAATTATTTAAATACACTATTTAGAAAATTGAAGTTGAATAACAACTCTAAAATTTATTGATTTTAAAAGTATTTAAAAATGTTATAAACATTGTATTGAAATATTAAAATTTAAAAAATGATATAAACGATTTATTGAAAATGGGCATAATTGAGATTGTAAATTTTATAATTTCACGTGTAAATGTTATATATATATATATATATATATATATATATATATATATATATAATTGCTTTCTAGCTTTTGATTATTAACTATTATCTTTTATATGTATATTCATTTTTCATTTTTTTAATCTGTTTCTTGAGCTTTTATTACGTTATCTGTTATATTTATAATTGTTTTCAGATGGATTATTTGACATGTATATCATGTCAAGTTCACCCCCATTGTTTTATCTTGGTACAGTACAAGGTCTTCTGGATCATGCATGCAGATGCAAAGACAAAATAAAGCAAAATGTTTCCTTTCAAAAACCATGTCCAAGTTCATAAGGTTGAGACAAAATGCCATGCACAGCAGCAACACGTATTCAACATGCACTTCAAATCTCTCACCATCTCAGCCACATACAGTTCAAATTCTTACCATCTCAACCTCATACGAAGCTTGATCATGAACACAATATGTTAATTCCCTTTCGCCACCTCCATTTGTTCACTCAACACATGTCAACCTGCGCATATTCGTGTCATTCTATGGCCAAATGTTCATGCATGTTAACAAGAGTCTATATATGTCTTGTATAATAGCTATAAATACCTACAATATCATTCAGTGTTTTCATCCTAAATCTAAGTACTACTAATATTTGATCCACGGTATTCATACACTATGATGGGAGCAAGGATTCAACTGCTACATTTGCTGGGGATTCTCTTGCTGGCATCAGTTTCTGTCTCATTTGGTACTTCAATTCGGAATCACCAAGAGAGCGAAGGAAACTCATATTCAGAAGAAAACCCCTTCTACTTCAGCTCTGATAGTTCGTTCCTCACTCTCTACAAAAACCAATATGGTCATATTCGTGTCCTCGAGAGGTTCGACCAACGCTCCAAACGACTTGAGAATCTTGAAGACTACCGTCTTGTAGAGTTCAAGTCCAAACCCCAGACACTCCTTCTTCCTCACCATGCTGATGCTGATTTCCTCCTAGTTGTCCTTAGTGGTAAGTAATTTAACCAAATAATAAGTTAGATAAATAAACTTTTAAAGAAGTTTATTTTATCTGTTTTTCTTAAAATAATGAATATGTTAATTACAGGGAGAGCAATACTCACCTTGGTGAACCCTGATGGCAATGACACCTTCATTCTTGAGCCTGGCTATGCCCAGAAAATCCCTGCAGGAACCGTTTTCTATTTGATTAACCCTGATGAAAACGAGAATCTCAGAGTGATCAAACTCGCCAAACCCGTTAACAACCCTCACAAATTTCAAGTACTGCCTTTTCTGATTCAAGACTAATTATGCGGTTTTTTATTTTTCTTCTAATTTGATGATAAATCTTCGTCCTGCAGAATTTCTTCCTATCCAGTACTGAAGCCCAACAATCCTACTTGCAAGGGTTCAGCAGGAATATTCTAGAGGCCTCCTTCGATGTAGCAACATTTAGCTAGTAGTTTGTCTAAATGTCACACTAACTAATTAGATAATATCATAATACACATTTGCTTAATTTTTTAGAGCGAATTCAAGGACATAAACAAGGCTCTGTTTGGAGAGGAATATGGTAAGAGTAAGCAAGAGGGAGTGATTGTTGAACTGTCAAAGGAGCAAATTCGTCAACTGTGCAAGCACACCAAACCTAGTTCAAGCAAAACCATTTCCTCTGAAGATGAACCATTCAACTTGAAAAGCCTCAAACCCATCTATTCCAACAAGTATGGCAAGTTGTATGAGATCACACCAAAGAAAAACCCCCAGCTTCGGGACTTCAATATCTTCCTCAGTAATACGGATATCAGTGAGGTAAGTGCAAAGAAAATCTCAACTGGCCAATTGAATTCTAAGATATGTTTGGAAAGTTTTCTCTTCTTTCTTTCATTAAAATCATAAACTGCTTACTCTCTTCTTATGTAGGTAACCTTAATTGTTGAGACTTTAATGAAATAATGATTTTGTGTTTTGTTAACAAATTTAGGGTGGTCTTTATCTGCCACACTACTATTCAACGGCCATAGTGGTAATAGTGGTTAATAAAGGAGAAGCAAAGGTTGAACTTGTTGGCCCTAGAGAACAAGAACAGAAGCAGGAAGAGGAACAAGAAGAAAGTAGGAAAGTGCAGAAGTTCAGAGCTGACTTGTCTGAAGACGATGTATTTGTAATCCCAGCAGCTTATCCAGTTGCCATAAATGCTACCTCCAAGTTCAATTTCTTTGCCTTTGGTATCAATGCTGAGAACAGCGAAAGGAACTTCCTCGCAGGTATCTACATTTTAAATAAGCATCAAAGGTTTTATTTTGCAAAGAATATTGTATTTTGAAAAACTTTCCCACAAACACTTATAGCAGAAAATGATATGAATTTATACTACTCGTACTTTTTTGTCATTGGGTTATATGTGCTTACAATTACTGGTGCATGATTGAAAAAATATGAAGGTGAGAAAGACAATGTGATGAGCGAGATACCAAAACAAGTGCTGGAGGTTACTTTCCCTGGATCTGGTGAAAATGTTGAGAAGCTAATAAAGAAGCAGAAGGAATCCTTCTTTGTGGATGCTCAGCCTCAGCAAGAGAAGGGGGGGTATAAGGGAAGAAAGGGTCCATTATCTTCGATTTTGGGCACTCTCCACTGAATAAACTATCTACTAAAATCTATACTGTAAGAGCTCATAGCTTTTTCTACTATATATATATATATCGGGCCATGTAACAATAACTTGAGCTCCTCGTAGCTTTTCTACTCTGAATAACAAATAAATCGAGTATTTTCATGATTCTTGTGTTTTTCTGTCCTTCACATACATTCTGATATGGTTATAGGCACCAAAATGCCAAAGTAATTTACTATGGAGCAAAAATCAGAACACAATCATATTGTGGATTCTTTAACTGATCAAAACGTTATTGAAGAAGTGCAGATATGAGATTTTTCGATTATACAACTTTTTTTAATGAAGCTTCTTAGTTGGTTGACAACTTAATATGTTAATCATGTCATTGGTACTTGAATTAGAGAGTCTGGATTTTTTGTTAACTCACTTGTTTTTCTTTTATTTCATTTATAATTGTGTTTACTCTCTTACAATACAATGAATTTCTGAGTTTCTTACATTAAAAAAAAAATGGTTAAATCTATCTAATAGATCTTTTTATCATTTAAGTCTCTTCCTTTCAAGTCTCTATCACACTAATTTTAAGAAAAATGAAGCTATCACAAATGAAAAGAACACTAGTTCTTTCACCTTCTTCCTCTTGGCTTCATCCATGGCCTCAGTTGCAATGACTATTCATTATGTTCTTTTTTTTTTTCCAATTTTTTACACCCATCTTGTAAGAAGATGAGTGTGTATTTCTCTAACTTTTATGGATTTTTTTTTTAGTATCAGTAAAATAAAAGAACCAATTCATCACTTTACTAGTCTGCCATTAGTTTCTTTAAAGGCATCACAATAAAATATAGAATTTCAACCACCGTAACCTCATTTTTTTTGGCCTAGTAGCATAAAAAAATCCACTAATTAAAAAAAAAACAAATTAGAGTAACAAAACAACCTCTTTCTTCATCTATCATTTCTAGCAAACGAAAAATTCATTAATAAAAAAGAAAAAAATTACAATATTTTTAACATTAATAAAAAAATTATAATATTTTTAAAATCGCTTAAAAAATGAAAACATGTGATTTAAATATTTAATTGAGTCTAACCAGATTTAATAAAATAATTTTTTAATAATATAATAAGTATATTAATTTTTTTAATAAAAAAATAATAAAAACTCTTGTTATGTCATCATAAGTTATAATAATTAAAAATATTAAATATACTAAAAATATAAAATAAATAATTATTAAAATAAGATAAAAATATAATAAAATAATAATTATTTAAAGTTAACATAACTAATATAAAATTAAAAATTAAAAAAATAAAATATATAATTTTTATAAAAAAATTATATTAAAAATATTAATCTTAGTTTTTCTTTCATGAATAGATCAATAAAAAAATCTAGTCAATTTAATTTTGTTTACTTTTATCTCAATTTAATTAAAATTCAACAACTTATCAATTTCTAAATCTGACAAATTAAACGAGTCCATCCTATTTCCAAAACAGTAAAGAGTAGAATACATAACCTTCAACAAAACCAAAAAAAAAAAAAAAATCTAACCACTAATACTTTTTAATGCGAATATAGGTGCACTTTGTTTGAGGGATATTAATCACTCTTTCATTATTTAAACCTTGTTAATATTCTATTCTTAACATAATTTATTTCTTATATAAAATAATATGACAAAGATATCTAAATCACTTAGTAGCAAAAAGTTGTTATTTCATCAATCAATATTTGTATGCATAAATTAATTTATAAAAACTTTCTTATATAACTTTTTCAAAATTATTTTTTTAACTTATTCATAGTTAGTTTAACTTATGGAGAAATTTAGTTCACATTTTTCTTCTTATTTTTCCTAAAATATTTAGCCAAACAGACCCTTAACTACCTTCATGCTACTTTATGTATACTTTATTTACCACTTGTTGCAAAATCATGTTAGGTTATGAATGAAGGAACAATTGTGTTTATTTATGTGTTTAGTTCAACTGGAATTTGAGTCTTTATTTTCTTCTTATGTTACACATTCAAAAGTGGGCAATCATACGAAATTAACCTTTAAAATTATGCTTAAGTTTTATGTTGTTTTGTGATTTAAGTGTGGATTCTCCTAATCAAAGCTTTAAATTGCGATCATAATTTCTTCTATTTGAAAATAATGAGTAAAGAATGAATAAATACACAGAGGATGTGATAAAAAATAAGGCCAGTACTTTCACATATGAAGTAAGTGAGTCTAAATGTTGCAAATACTTTTGGTTGACCCTTAAAAGAATCCTACTTGAAATCTTTGTAACTTTGCTAGTTATTACTTTCATGCACTTTGCCTATTCTATTCCTTTCTTTTTTAACTTTTCTTCAATAGTAACGAATTTGTAACCAGGGGGAATAGCAAACAAGTCCTGCTCATCAAACAACCTACTACCAGATTCCACACTTGATGAACTAGATCTAGAAGGGGTCTTTATCCACTGAAACCATGATGATGATGTGTTGGAGGAATTTTCTTCCTCTTCTTGGTTCTTTGGGCCAGAAGTAGGACTTGATGGGGCTGATTCAAACTCATCTCCATTTTCATTTTCATTTTCATTTTCAGGTTGTAGTTCTTCAAACTTTGTGAAAGTCACGTATACTCTAACAGTGGATACCACAGGGATGGCTACCTAAATTTTCAAAGTCAATGAGATGGTATACAGTCATATATATGAACCAAAAAGTCTGAAAAATGGGAAAGATCAAAGACAAGCATGATAAACATAGAAAAGAAATCATAAATAATGTCGAAATTTTCCCTTTGAATCCTAACAAGTGTGAACCCACTTGGCAACTAATAAATTCTGTTCAACAGTAAAAATAAGAAAGGAACAGGTCAATGGGTAACCAGTTAACCATGTCTGAAATCTATGTTCTTGAGTCTCGAGCGAACTCTTGGTTTAGTTGAATTCTTGTTTCTGACACTCCAAGTCATGTGTCATAACAAGTTTATTATTCTTTCATTCAATTTATTGAGAGAACCAAGACAACAGAGTTCTGATTTTCCATCAAACTAGAACTATAACCTTTTAGTTTTTTTCTTGAAAAGGTCCTCAAAATGAGTTCCGTGCTTCTCTTACCAAAAGGTTTTAACGCTTGCTTGATAGATGTGGAACATGAAGACGGATAAGGGGAATGAATGTTCCAAATTATTATGTATGGTTGGATACATTCTCAAAGTTCACTCCTTCCATCTTCAATATTTTCATTTTCATCTTACCATGCATTACATTAGTATTTAGCATAACAAAATGTTTTTGTACAAAAACACTGGTTGCTGCAAAAGAAATGCACTACATCTAACCAATTTCTGTCTAATCTCTAGGTGACAAGTTTATATATATTTTTCCACTAGTCAAACATGAAAAAGTGTGTCACATATCGGATGATTGAACTGTAAAACTTTCTGATAATTTTCATGAAATACTGTCTTGGAGAGACAACTAGCCAACGGTCATAGATGAGTTCAGATCAGTTGCCATCAGAAGCATTTAAGCTCAAGCATTGAACAATGAAACTTTTAATTATAGAAAAATATAATATCCACCATTATCTGCCCATGATGTTTATTGATGAGAACATAAATAAAAGTACTAATAATTTTCCCTAGTGAGTACTGCATCAAGGAAACCAAGAGGGAAAGAACTAAAGTAAGCATATGATTAAATGGGGTTTTCAGATGCCAATGTGCCAATTGATTTTAGATGCCTTGTTGTGGAATGATTAAATCAAAGAACAGAAATGACATACCTTTACTGGAAAGGATTCCTTTGGAAGTTTTGTTGTAAGGAGTTCTCTTAACCGACGAACTGCTTTAAGTTTTTCTGCAAGAATGTCAAGCATAGGTAGCAATTCATCAATTGTAAGGGGAAAGTTTTGGGAGAGCCAAAGAGCAGGCATCATCCCTCTCTTAAACTGGCTTTCACCCTTCTGGGAAGCAGAATTCTCAGAGGGTGCATTTGTGTTTTTCTTCTTGTGGTCTTTATGTCCACCAGACTTTGCTTTCTTTTCTTTCTTTGCATGATGACTCTTGTGACCTGTGCCATTGTCATCTGTTGAATTCATTGCAGCTTCCAATTGCTTCTTTTCTTCTTCTGTCAAAACGACACTGTCCTTCTTCTTCTTTTCCTTGCAAGGCTGCTTGGGCTCAAGAGGTGGAGCTCCAGGGACCCTTTTGGATTTCACACTAAGAACCACATTTTGCATGTCATACACCTTAGCTTTCCATGGCCCCACCGTTTCTTTCCTCTCCTTTCCCCTCCATGTTACCTGGGGAACAAGAAGTGCCTCACTCACATCAATCCCAATCCTTACTGAGTCAGTCCTAGACTTCTTATTCAATGTGTTCTTAACCTGTCTATCAGTGGGAGCAACTTTGGTAGGTGAAAACACAACTACTTCCTTCTCTTCGTGTGAGACTCTGAACAGCGATCCTGGGTATCTCCTCTGATCATCTTTAGTACCATCACTAAGGAAAAGAATGCTCTGATTTGCCCTCTTCATTTTCAAACCATCAAAGCCAGCCAAAGTCATATCGGCTCTCATATCCCCACCCTTTTTCCAAATCTTGTAAGTGTCTGAAGGTGCAATCCTTGAGATGAAAGGTATCACAGAACTCTCAAAATGGAATGTAATCTCCATGTAGAAGTCCTTCATCCTTCTCATAGTCCCTATATACCTAGGCAACCTTCTATAATACTTTTTGTCATAGTCATTCCAATAGTTCCTTATTATAACCATTGCTATTTTATCTTGTTTGTGAATGATGGCTTCTCTAAGAGCGGTCCACCCTTCCCTGTTCTTCAACCTACCATTTGCCCCAGCATCCATGAGCATCTCAGTTGCAATAAAATCACCCTCCTTTACAGCCAAGTGAAGAGGGGTGTCACCATTTGGTACATCCCTCCTATCCACCACAAGAGAGATGGTTGCAGCCTTCTCATCCTCAGCTATTGACTCAGCCTCAGTTTTAATCTCAAAAGGGTTGCATAGTTTTGGGAGATTTCCAAGTATCTCAACAAGAGCAATATGATCCTTCAATACTACAGCCTTGTGCACAGGACTATGATCATATGCTGAGACATCAATACCTGCCATGCTCACAAATTAGAGGGTGCCTACCAACCCACACTAGTCAATACAACCTCACACCCATTCCAATCATCCAAAACAGTCTTTCTTTTCACACCAAAAATTGTGCCCAAAACTGGATTCAATTGTCAACTCCTACCAGAAATATGATTGATCACCGATTCGAACAATATCACATGACTTTGTAAAATCAACAATTTCTGTCATCTGAATCGAGACGAACTCAAAAAATGAAACAGATCCATTGACAATACAGGAAAAAGTTTATGAAAATCATGAATGAAATCAACTCCAATTTTGATCAGAACCAAACAACAGAATATTATAGCTGAGACAACAACTACAACAATTAGAAGCAAAAACCTACAAGGTTCAAACCAAGCATTTGCTGAAGCATATGTTTGTTATAATGGTAAACTCAGGAAGGAAATATGAAAAAAATCATGAAGAGAGGAGATTTCATTGAGAAAATAGCAGAAAAGAAAAAAAAAATAGAAAAACAAAAAACTTATAACGGAAACTACCAGTGGGGTAGATTCATCAGAAGCAAAAGTCCTAAAACAGAAAATATTATTTTAGGCCAGCATAAGATCCGCAGACAGAAAAATTCACCTATCCAAATTAAGCCATAGACATTGAAGGCAGAATTTTATATTTTCTTAAATTTACTGATTTTCAGAAAATAATTTTAAACCTTTTCTATGTTTTCTATTATATATATATGGGGAGAAGGGAAAGTGGTTGAAGTTCAAATCTTGAATCTTGACTCACTCAGTTCTTACGTAACAGCTTTACTCATTTGCTAACCAAATCAGAACATATGATGGCATTTCCAATCCAAGATCCTGTACAAGAACTCATGGTGTTATTTTATTTTAAGTAGTTACACTATATTACTCTTTTTTTTTTTACTTTAATAATATTTATATTTTAAAAATCTAAATATTAAATTTAAGTGTAAAATATATTTTTCTTATAATAATTATAATAAATAATTATATTTACTATAATTAAAGTATTTTATTTATTTTTCATACATTACTAATTATTTGGTAAACTTTTTAATCATCATCTTTAAAGAATGTTAGTTTTATATTCCATAAATTATTAAATAAATGTTCTTATATGTGAATTTAAATGTCATGCAAAAGTCATTTAATAGATGAAAAAAATTTATTCACATATGATTCAAAATTTACCTATAAAAAACTTCATATTTGACGACTTTTATAATACACATCTTCAATTAATCGTGATTTTTTATGAGATCGAATTTTCCTTTAATTAAAATCGTCTAAATTAGCATACACGTAATATAAAGTTAGCTATTTTTTAAAGAAACACGATTAAAAATTTAACAAAATAACTAATATAATATAAAAATTAGACAAATTTTTAAAATATGAAATTAAAAAAAATGTAAAACACTTTTGAAGATAAAATTAAAAATTTAAAAGCTCAACGATGTAATCATTGTTTACACCAGTTCATTTTATATCGAAAATGCCAGTAACGGAAACATTAAAAAAAATGTATTCTCTTAATTAAGATTTTAATTTATTTTTTATAATTTGTAATCTTCCGAACACCATCGCTTAAACTTAATTAATTCAAAATAAAAATTTAAATGGTGATACAGCACATCAAATTAGAAAGATTAAATTTAAAAAGTCACAATAGCACTCATGAACACAATATAAGTCCAATGATAAATGGTACCACCCAATTCCTGAAATATAATGAAACTTAATATGATAAAGCTCAAAGCTAGTAAACAAATTCTTCAGTTTATTTACATGAATAAAATCAGGGAAAAGAATTATAACCAAACATAGGTGAATTTAAACTGCAATCATGAATATGAAAAGTTGATCGCTGTGACTGCAACTATTCTGAGTTAATGGTTCTTCTCCACATATATTGAAACACAATCAACAAATTCATTAGTGTACACTTGAAAACTCTAGCTATTATTGCAAGGATCATAATGTTTCTTTTCCTTATGCCACATGCTTCAAAGAGTCAATGCATAACTCCTAGGAGAATCACTCCTACATGAAAGATAACTTCAATTTCAATTTCCAGATTTTGGCCCAAGTTTTCTAAGCAACCAAAGTACTTCCCAAGTGTGGGAGCTTACTAATGAAGTGACATGGTGGTGCCATAATTAGTTATGACTCTTTGCTTTCTTTGACTTGTTCTTCTCTTGCATCTGCTTTTTCTTTGCTTCAGCACTAACCCAAGTATAGTCAGATGGAATTGCAAATGGGTCTTGAATATTTTCTATCCTACTGCTGGATCCTGAAGCAGATGTACTAGAGCGATATGGAGCTTTTATCCATTGAAACCAAGATGATGCCGAGAAGTGTGGTGCTGCAGGGCTCTCTTGGCCAGTTGCAGATGGACTCGATGGTGGCGTTGCGAATTCTTCTACTGGTTGTAGTTCTTCAAACTTTGTAAAGGTAACCAATACTCTTATAGTAGGAACCACAGGGATAGCAACCTGAATTATGAAAGGGATAATGGATTTAACATCATTTACAAAGAAAACATGTCAAGAGACAAAGAAAAGCCAGAAAAGAAAGTAATCATGTGATGTACAAAAAAACTAGGATTAACATGATACAGTTTCAGTCCAAAGGAACAGCCTTCAATATGAAGACCAAAATCAAAGCCAAGTCTCAAGAATGTTTAAGAAGTGCAAGTGTAGTATCCAGTTCTAGGCCATCGAGGCGTCTTAAACACTTAAGTACTGACCTTTTATATAGCGAACCCACCCATCTTTTGGTCCAAACTAGTCACTCAAATATTAAATTCCAAGATTGACCACCATTGATCACAAGAACTTGTGCAAAACAATATGACCAGGCTTGCTTGAAAGATCAAAGAACCTACCGATAAAGATGCGGGTAAAATATAAATAAGCTTATTTATTATCTCAGTTAATACTAATTTCAAGAGTTGAATAACAAACCTTAATGCCAAAAATCCACTATCAGTGCTTCTACAGTTTAAAATAAATAAAAGTGAAGAATAGGTTGATAAAAAGATTCATGGTCATAATAACAAAATTATACAATGATCCGTTATCCAATCCATGTTCTGCAGCTGGAATTTCTAGTCATGGAATTAGCAACTCAGGAATTTAATGAACATGTTGAACATCATGTTAGGTAAGAAGCGATTACAACTCCCTTTCCTGAAGAAGTTAGACATACATGGTTCAGTTTTTATTGATTAAAAAAATTGACAGATAGGAAAGCACCAAGGGTGAGGATAATGAATCAGTTCAGGACAACTCATCCAAATTAATCAAACCTGTGAAACTAAATGAGATGGGAATATGTTTGCTGCCCGTGTAGGTAGTAGGTCAAACTCAGAATGTTTAGACTATACCTGGATATAATTTCCAACAAGTATTCTGAATAAGACATAAATAAAAGGTTGCATTTGTCAACTATAGTATTTTTTCTATAGTAAGCAACTGGAACCAGAGACTGGGCTGGTTCAAGTGTTGATCTACTGAATTGACCAAATAACTGATCTGGTTAACATGTTGGATCAGATGCGCCAACAAATCAGCAAGAACAGGTATGACTTGGCCACATTTTAAAAAACTGGTGTCTGGCCAGTTCTGCAAATCAGAAGAAAAAAAAAAAGGTTGCAGACACAAGACATCCCAGATCGAATCCACTGTCCCAAGGTTGATTTTCAGTCCCTCATTGGAACACAATATATTTGAGGTTCCTCACTACTTCATTTGCTGTTGTTGCCAATAATTTCCTTACCAGTCATTTGCCACGTCAACAGTAGCACCTCACAAGAGCACTTCTTCAGTAGGTATCCTTTTTGTTGTGAGCATTGAGCAATCTTCGTTGAGAGCACTAACAAGAATCAGTAATGTGTGTGTACATGGTTTTTTCACTTCATCTAATCACAAAAACACTACAAAAGCTGAAATTACCTCCTCAAATTCATGAAACTTCACTTAGCACCTTAAGGTTTTAGGTAGTTGGTTTATGAAAACTAGATTCTTTGTTACTAAGAGAATAAGCACTTAGATTTTCCACCCATTGAAACTTCTTTTGGTTTCTCAAAATGAATATTTATTTCATTACAGGAAAGAAATTTTAATCACTGCTAGAGATAATGTATTTAACCCTCAAGCTATCTGTGAAAAAAAAAGTTACAGAAAGAATAATATAAATGTCATCTTAGTTTTAGACAAAATGATTACACTAATGTTACTTTCTTAAAAACAATTAAGAAAAAAAAAATTATCTTAAAAGAAAGTCAAGAGAAGGCATCAAATCTGCAAAGTGTGTGTGTATAAAGAAGAGACAGCAAAACACTAATACTCTTTGGAACACACTTTTATATTGATTGAAATTTAGTAGAAATTACAATTTTGTGAACATCACTTCTTATTTAATGAGTCTCATTCATAATTTTATAGTTTTCAATCAATTTTAAACAATAGTAGAGGATGTTTTAGCTAGTATTCCTCATAAATTAAAACAATGAAACCCTCTAATCTCTCTGCAGATCAGATAAACACCTCAGTAGTCTACAGCCAAAGAGATTTTGGTACTGAAAGGTCTGGAATTAACTAAAAACACAATTTCCCTTCCATCCCCAAAATGAAAAAAAATGTTGTGATGGTAGTTGTAAGCAAACCATCATAAACAGTAAAGTAGAATAGTTTTCATAATTCAACCAAATCCTAATCTCAAGAAAAACAAATCACAATTCAAGCTCATTGATGTGAAAATTATAATGTATATTTACAATAGTAATGATACTGACTCACAGTGACATTTAAGCTGTCATTGATGCAGACATTGTCATCATCACCTATCAATTCATAAAGAATCACTATCTCATACTTCGTGTTGTAGGATTTTTTGTTCTTAATAAATTAGGGCTATTTTTTAATTTAACTTCTGAGTCATTTAAGACTGCTTGGTGATCATGTTGGGTTCTCCTTGAAATATATCTATATAGTGAATAGCAATGATTTATATACTTTAGCTTGATAATGGGTATTGAATTGAACAACATTACTCTGTTTCTAGCTCAGATCTATTCCTGACTCCTATTCTGCAACCAGTTTCACTGTTACTCAGAGTTTTCTCCCTTAACCATTTATCCAGTGATTTCCTCCCATCTATAGACCAAAAAATGATGTGCAACACACTACAGCATAAGCAGAATATACAACCACGTGTAGAATTCATCCTAGTAGTAAGTGATACAGAAGAAAATAAAATGGAAGCAAATAAAGAATTTAATATCCATACTTCTAGTAACAGGCCTTAAAAAGATGATAGGCACAGACCTTAACAGGGAAGGTTCCCATTGGAAGTTTCGTTGTAAGGAGTTCTCTTAATCGTCGAATTGCTTTAACTTTGTTTGCAACAATGTCAAGCAATGGCAGGAGTTCTTCGGTTTTAAGTGGGAAGTTTTGGGAAAGCCAAAGAATAGGTCGCAATCCTTTCTTATATTCATTTTCCCGATTTCCATCTTTGTGACGACTTCTGTTATCAGAATTTGAAGAAGGAGCTTTGACATCTTTTTTCCTCCGTAACTCATCACCCTTCACAGCTATCTCAACAGAATGTCTTCCTGGCTTACTCTGATTTCTTGAAGGAGAATCCCCTAACAAATCACTCACCTTTTCTTCTACGCAGAGAGAACTTCTTGGTGGAGCAATCTTCTTTGGTGTTTCAGGTTTAGAATCCTTTTTTCTCCATCCACCAAACCATCCTTTCTTTTCCTGCTTATTTTCTCCACTTTTGTTACAATTTCCATCTTCAATGGGAATATCTCTATGTTCATAACAGCTGTGACGATGCCCAATGATCACCTCATCACTCTCGTTGGTCAAGTCTGCTGAATCCAACCTAAGCGCATCTTCCAATTGTCTTCTTTCATCCTCAGTCAAAATATCATTGAACTCTTCACTCTCAGTTTCATTTTCATTGCAAGACGAGAAGAGCTCATCATCTGTCATAGCGCCAGGAACTCCTCTAGATTTTATGCTCACAACTACATTGTGCATATCATACACCTTAGCTTTCCAAGGGCCTACCATTTCTGTTTTCTCCTGCCGCCTCCAAGTCAACTGAGGCAAAAGAACTGCCTGGGTAACATCAATCCCAGGCCTAAAAATATTTGTTTTAGACATTGCAGCCACTTCTTGCTGAACCTCCTCTTCGTTTGCTGGAAATCCAGCATCATCTAGTGCATTGAGTACCTCTTTTTCCCTGTGTGAGATCATGCAAAGTGACCCAGGTGGGACTTTCCCATCCTCCGAACCATCGCCCAGGAAAAGAATGCTCTGATCTGATCTCTGGATTCTAAAACCATCAAAACCAGCCAAAGTCATGTCTGCCCTTAGATTAGCACCCCTCTTCCAAATTTTGTAGGTGTCCGAAGGAGCAATCCTGGAGATGAAAGGAATCACAGAACTCTCAAAATGGAATGTAATCTCCATGTAGAAGTCTCTCATCCTCCGCATGGTCCCTACCAAGCGAGGCAACCGTCTGCACCATTTTGCCCAAGCCAGAGGCTGGTAGTGCTTAATTATTATCTTGGCAATACCCTCTTCTCTATTGCAAATAGCTTCCTGAAGAGCACTCCATCCCTGCTCATTCTGCAAACTCCAATCTGCCCCAGCAACCATAAGCATCTCGGTGGCCACTTCATCCCCAAATTTCACAGCCAAATGAAGAGGGGTATCACGGTTTGGCACATCACGCCGGTCAATCACAGCAGAAATGGCATCAGCCTTCTCTTCCTCCGAAATAGAAACCGCTTCGGTGTGAATCTCGGCCGTGTTACGTAGCCGTGGGAAGCCAGAAATTATCCTCCTAAGCTCAGAATAATCCTTTGAAACTATGGCCCTGTGCACAGGACTATGACCATACTTTGTGATATCAATCCCCGCCATAGCTCCACAGCACAAGGGATAACACACCACCACCAACTCCCACTATCAATCACAAGCATAAACAAACGCCACCATAAAAAATCTAAAATTTCCCGAATTGGTCCCCACCCACACTTGCCCAATCCAACCAACCACCGCTCACACCACGAAGTTGGATGTAACAAATGAAACAGACCCTTATGCACAATTCACCTCCAGAACACAGAAAAAAAGGGTCCCTATCAAGATCAGAAATTAAAAAACAAAAAGACCCATTTTGCATCAGAACATAAAAGAATAACAGAAAATCAAAAATCAAAGAAAAGCATATTGTGGGGTCCCAGATCAAGAAGTTTCAAAAGGGGGTGAAAGATGCTAACACACTAACCTTGTTCCTTTCTTCTGTGTTTTGCTTTGTCCAATGAATATGATTGCCCCAGAGTCCAGGGATTCACATCATGTGTTACTCAAACAAACCCCACCACACCTCTCACTACCCCTCAAGTACCAAACAAAAAGTGCAGATGGCAAAGATCCTAGTGATCCAATCCAGATCAGACAAGCACGAAGAGAACATGCATGTGGTTGCGTGAAACAAAAATTCTAGAATAAAAAAAAATGACCTTTGAATATTTAATTCAATTTTGCCTTTTTAAAAATTTGAAAAATCACAAAACACAAGAAAAAAAAGAGAGAGGAAAAGAAGGTGTGCGAGGAGGGGAAATTGGTGAGAGAAAAGGTGTGCGAAGGGGGAATAACACAGCCAGGATCAATCAAGAAAGAGAAAAACCCCACCACACAAGCAAAGAAAGAGGAACTCACTTATGTTGCAAAGGTTTAGTTAAAAACGGATGGAACTTGGAAGACCAAACGTAAGGAATAGTTAGAAAAGAAAATTACTTTGAAGTGAAAGAGAAGAATATTGTGTAGTCAAGGTTTCAAAGATGGGGTGTCATGTTTTTTTGAGACCAAGTGATAAATATCTCTAAAATAACGATATAATCTAAGATGAAAATTTACATTCTTTTAAAAAAGCATAAAAGTTTACATTTTTTGAAAAAAAAAGAAGATAATCTTTTTACTATATATCTAAAATATTTATTCAAAGATTTAAAAGACGGATCATCTTCAATAATTTCTAATGTAAATATACTTTCTGTCTATATAATATTCATTCATGTAATTAAACTCTTTTTCAAATACTATAAAAGAAAAGATATTGTAAGATGGTAGTTGTTATGTCTGAACTTAATGGACATTACTATTCTGAGAGTACACAACATTTCTTTCATAGATAGAGAGGAAATGATGAAAAGAAAAGTAAAAAAAGGTTGTGACTTTTGTTGAAGAAGTTTCATGAAAAATGAGTTTGGAAGAAGAAGAGAGAGAGAGGGAAAGGGTCCATGGAAGGTGGATTGAATTGATGGGAAAAAGGCAGCATGCATGTGAGCCACAAAAGAAGGAACCTGCTTCTCTATTTCCTTTCCTTTTCACTGTTGATTCCTCTATGGATTTTACCCTACTTTCATTATTTCATAATTCATTAAATATTTCCCCTTTTCTATCTTACACAATATTTCTATGGATAATGCAATGGAATCTATTATAAGCTGCAGTTGCTACTTTTTCTTTCATAAATTTATGTTTACAATTTTGATTGAGTCATTCATTCTCCATGCAAGTTTTACTCTTGTTTTTCTACATAATTACCCAAATTTGTTATCAATTATAAGACATAATTTTTCTTATTTAATCCTGCAAAATCTATATCAACAAAATAATATCATATAAAATAATATATTTAATTATTGGTTTAAATATAAAATAATTTTATATTAATGAGATATTTTAAATAAGATATAATTTATTATCTAAAATATTTTTATAAAAAACTTATTTACAATCAACAATTCACCTTCATCTTCAAAATCGTGAAAGAGATAATCATTAAAGATTCATCACTTAAATAATTAATTACGTAATAATTTATTGTTCTAATATTAAGTAGTTAATCTAATTATTAAGTAACACTTCATTTAAGAGTATAACTATTTGGCTAACTTGTATCTTCAGCTACAAGATAAAAACATTAATTATACCTTATTTTGTTGATTTTTCTATTCAATTTCTTTTTCTTAATTATTATTACTTTGTTAATCCACTTACTCATTTTCTCTCTTGTAAATTTTACTGTATGCTTAAACTAAAATTTAAGAGAATTTAAACAAAATAATATAACAATAAAGAATTTTTTTAAAATATCATAATAACAAAAAAAAATACAAAGACTTTATTTACTTCTATCATTATAACAAAAATAATAAAAAAAATCATTTAATGACAATTTTAAATTTTAATTATAAAGTAAATAAAATTAATTTTAAAAAATTATTATATCATAGATCATTCAATCAAAATACTTTCAGTAAGTTATTTTGATAAAATAATATATATATATATATATAAATTAAAAATATATTATTCTTAATTATTATTTAAATAAAGTATTCTTTTGTCGATTATTTATATAAATTATTATATATGAATTGTCTATTTTGACTATAGTTTATGGATTATTTACATAAAATATTATTTGTGAATTATAATATTATTTCATCTATAGATTATCCAAAATTAATATTATTCGTGGATTAATAAAATAAAAGACAAAGAATATATATATATATATATATATATATATATATATATATATATGATAAATATTAGATACAAATATTTATTGACTTTATTTTAAATTTAATAGATATAAATTTTCTGCTACAGTTAATATAACAAAAAAAACTGATAAAATAAATATTATTGTGTGATTTATAAAAAAAATTAATTAAATAACATGAAAAAAATATTCCTTATTTTATTAATTTATTTATTTGATTCATTTTTCTTAATCATTTATTATTCTAGATTTTTTTATGTGAATGAAAAAATAAATAAATAATTAATACTCTTAAGTTATATTCTATATTCATTGTTAAGAAGTAATAATTATGTTATTAATTATTTCAATTTCAATCCAACTAATCTAATTGATGAAAAAGGAATATGAATGTATTCACCAAGTAAATATCATTTACATCAATTATATATATATATATATATATATATATATATATATATATAAAGATAGTCTTCTTCAACGAACAATGATGAATATATATATTTTGCATCTTAAAATGATTACCAATATTTGAAAAAAATTAATTGCCCCATTTAGTTGTAAGTCCTGTGTTCTATTAGAAACTAAGTATTATTATTATTATACTAACCTATCTGGCGTCTAGAAAGAACAGAAAAATGAAACCTTTTTTTGGATGGATCCCAATAAAGGCCAATCTCGTCCCCTTTTTTTAAGCTTCTTCTAACAACAAAATCATTGACCCAGTTTCCCACTAAAATATAAGCTGTGGACTTTTTGGTGAAAAAGAGAGAGTGAGAGGTCTCAGTGTCCTCGTCCCAAACCTCAACATCAATTCCTTTTTCAATCTCGTAATCAGTAGCATTCAGCACAGGAAGCATGAAGTTTCTTGCCATAGCTGCCGCCACTAGCAGTCGTAAAGTCACATCGAATTCTTGCAGCACTTTCTTGATTTTCCAAGTCTCTTCTTCCTTTGCCTCCTGCTGCATTGCAGGATCTTCAGAAGATGAATTCTGCTTCTCCATGAATTCTGGAACCTTATTCTGCCCCGTCTTTTCCAAATCCTCATTTCCCTCATTCTGCTGCTCTATCATAACCTTTTGTTGCTCTATCAGAACTTTCTGGTGCTCCATCAGAATCTTCTGCTGATCCATTAGAACATTCTGATGCCTCATCAGAAGTTTCAACTGCTCAACAAGAATATTCTGTTGTTCCACCAAAACATTCGTTTGTTGCATGAGACTCTTCTGCTGCTCTTCCCTGCAATTTTTCCATAGCAGATTAACGGGGTGCCACAGAATAAGAGTATTTTCTTTTCCTGGAACAACAAATTATAATATACCTTCCTTTTATATCCACTAAAAGAAAAGGATAATGACTGGTGTTAAAAGAAGAGACACGAACAAGTTTATTTTTGAGATGTTAGAAACTCGCAAGTAATTCTTAAAATAATAAAATAAATATAGGATAAAAGGAACGAAAAATGAGAGAAGTGAGATGAAGAAAATTATTTCTTTTTTAGAGGAATGTGAAGTGGTTTATTTATAAATATAGTATGAATAACAAACTCATTTACTCATTCAATATTATGGGTGGTCATGACCTGGAAACAAGGGAGAGTAGAATACCTATAGTTTAATGAAACATGTTATAGGTTAGTGGAACATGTTTTAAGTTTTATAATACCTTTTATTTTACAATAATCTCCACATATTACAAAACAAAAAGGAGATAAAAGAACAAAATCTTAGATGTTATATGAGATGTAATGCATCAGAGCTAACAAACTATATGAACCAGTCTTAAATTGTAAACGTAACACACGGTATAATTGGTATAATAAGTTATATGAACCAAAACACTTATTGTGTGTTAACAGTTTAACAATCACAATATATCCCACGATTCTCCTTGTTATCATTATGTTGCGTTTATTAGGTCATGTACGTGTCCGGTATTCATGAGTCCTCTAGAAATCTCACAAAGATCTTATATAAGCGGCTTCACTCAACACTAATTTAGGTGATTTCATCAAGTGTATGTTGCAAATCATACACTACCCAAAAGAAATATAAAATCATTAGAAACTTTATTTAGACTAAAATTCATACACCACATAAAATTTTAATTACAAAGTTTAACCTGTCAATGATGCAATATCTAACACTTTCACATACTATAGGAATGAACATAATTGATTTTAATCAATTTTAGTGCTAACAGAACTAACAAGTCACAAAGATTGGGTTATCACCTGTTTGTTTGCAAGTGACTTGAGTCTCATTCCCCTAGATGTTTCTAAAATCATATTTCTCTCTAAGGATTTTGTCAGAGGAACTACTAGATTTCGTTATGACTTCACATA